GCACAAAGTCCCCCCTCCACATCATCTCAAGCACCTGCCGTGTCACTCCCTATGGAACAGTCCACTTCTTTACAGTCTTCTGGATCCAACATCCAACAAGTCCAAGGACATGCTGCCAGATATTTCACTTAATAGATCAGTGAATTGCTGAGTTGCAATGTTGACTCCCTCGCAGGTAGGGTCGAATTACGTTTCCTGAAAAGTCAACAATCGTGACTGATACTTGTCAAGTTTCAGTGTGCTAAGGAAAGTTTCATTTGAGTTTCTTTGCCAAAGAAATTGTTTACTAGGTAAATTAAACATTTCTGTTCATGGCATTGTTTCAGTGTGGACTGGGGGGTTGTCGGAGGAATATTTATCCAACAAACTATTTGTGAATAGTCTGAAAATAATGTGGGTCATTTCACTGTGAGATTCTCAATTGAATTTGTGAAATCACCCCTTACAATGATATAATCAACGGTGCTTATTCCAAGCGGTGAGTGATAAGTAAATTTTCTAAATAAAATTCCCTTTTGTTTTTCTATTTAAAATTCGTAAATTGCATGTTTTGCATATATCTAGTAATATTTTACCATGTTGTTGATTTCATTATATTTGTTTCGCTTGCTTAAATTGTGATGAAAAATGTCACCTGTTATGTGGTTAACATTTAAAGTTAATTTGTTTGCTGACAGCCATGACTGAATTAAATTCATTTCATGATTCATTTTACGTTCAAGGACACAGGGGTCTTCTGCAGATGAAGTAAGGGTAGCATCATCTGCATACATTCTGGGTTTTGAAAACAAATTACATGAAGGGAGATCCTTAATTTAGATAGTAAGTCTAAAAAGCTTTTATTGAGAGTAGGATTCGTGTTTGTCTCAGGCTTTGTGTGAATTTCCTTTTGTTCAGAGATCGGTTTCAAGACATTTTAGTTGTTCTCCGAGTTCTTTTGCGTGAGAGATTGTAAATTTTTGTCCAGGATTTTAATTTGTCGTTTCATACATGAAGATTGGATTTCATTCATTAGTTTTGAGGTCTCATGTTTCAGAGCGTCGTTGTCTGTGTCAAGGTCAATGACCCCAGATTTCAGTAGCCCAGTTTCCAGTTTCAGCGTATTTTCCCGTTTAGTTAGTTTGTCCTCCATGTGATCTAATTTGTAGGTGTCATCTGGATTTACTAATAGATTATTTTTCATTTCGGTGACGTCTGATCCGATCTATTGTCATGTATTACCATGCATTGCCATGTATAGCCATGTATTACCATGTATTGCCGTTTTTTTCTATGTATAACCATTCATTGCCATGTATTGCCATCTATTACCATGTATTGCCATGTATCACCCTGTATTGTCATGTATTAACATGTATTGCCATGTATAGCCATGTATTACCATGTATTGCCATGTATTACTACATATTACCATGCATTGCCATGTATAGCCATGTTTTGCAATGTGTTACAATGTATTACAATGTATTAGACTGCAAAACAGTCGGTTTTTTTCTCAAAATCAGTAAAGAAATCGGTAAAGCGTGGCGTAAGAGTCTTATGCGCGCAAGCCTCGAGAGGTTTTCCATACAACGAGTTTGTTCTGACCAGGGGGTTCAAAAATGTCATCGAGCTGTCAAAAATCTGTTCGCAACTCCTCCCTCTTTGTAAATTTGATAGACTCGCGTATTATTATTGACGCTGTAATCCAGTACTAAAGCAGTTTTTAGCGTTGCTTCCCTGTGAAATGTAGTGTATACAGTGTAATGTAGTATATATAGTGGAGGATCAAAAATGAGTGAAAGTGGCAGTACGACAACAAAGCCTGTGACTGCTCCTCGAAGAAGGAGAAAGCCGAAACAGCCGAGGGCTTTGGACAAATTGTAGAATGTGCGGCTGTTGTTTCAAAACACAGTTCGGCAATTTTACGAATGGATGGATAAGCTCGGAAAATGCGTTTGTTGCACCTACCAGAAAAGGGGAAACGTTACCAAAGTGGGCCGACCTACTGAAAAACGAACTTTTCGTTGTCCTCGAGGGAGGAGAATCTTTCTCCACACGAGCAGTTTGCTCTCCGTGCAGAACAACGGTTAGAAATTGCCCCGGGAAACTGCATGGCGATGCTTTCGCAAATTAGAGAAGAACTGAACACGCCAACTGACAATGAACAATTATTGCCATTGAAAAGAATGAGTAAATCCCCTCGTTCCAAACCACGTCTTGGTGATTTAGCTCTGTATATTACTATCTGTGAGAATTTAAAATCCTGCCAAAAACGCTAACGAGCTGGGCCCAGCGTGACAAAACATTGCAGGAAAAAGTCACATTCACGGACACAAAGAAAATAGCTTAAAATTATTCAAATCCAGGAGGCACTTTGGAGAAATAAAACAACCTAAAACCCTTAAGCCGCAATGAAGAGCTTTACATTTCTAAAGGGGCCAAGAAAGAAAATGCTCTTGCGTCAGAGGGCAAATCATTCCTACCAGAGAAAATCAATATGCGTGTCACGACCTCTCAGTAAATTTATGTCACCTACACAATAATATTTAGTTATTTACACAGTTTAAGGTAGGGTTGAGGTGGTTGTTTTTGTGACCTGATAATGTTCGTCGACATGTACAGGTGATTCTCTTGACCTTTGCTTCTTACTATATAATAGGTAAAAGGTACAGTCATGTAAAGTATCGATCACAAGATAATCAGGAGATCTCAGGGACCACTTATATCCCTGGAACACGTTCAGTAAAATTACTATAGTCCTCGTTCCGTACATTTACTCAACATGTGCAGTAATTTTACCCTCCACGTTTTCAGTAAAATTACACAATCGCATGATCGTTTTTCTCGAGGAGCTATAAGGTGTGAACAACTTCGATTCCACTCACAATTTGCAAGCTCAATCTTCGGACGTTCAAGAAAACAAAGTGCAAAGCAAAAGTTAAGTTAAGTACAGCAAAGTTAAGTACATTCCTTTTACTTCTGTCCCCCTCCTCTTTTCTATGCCATGGAACAAAATTGTAAAGTTTTGATAATGGGACACTCCTTCGTGAAACGTTTTCATTATTTCCTAAAGCAGCGCCGTGACAAACGGACGCTAGCTAATTTGAATTTGTTATCTATAGAAATCTGTTTTTCTGGGATTGGGGGAAGAACTGTCGCTAAACTTCGTTCCTGCGTCAGAGCATTTCAGCCTCATGTAGTTATTTTAGAGATAGGTTCTAATGACCTCTGTGAGGCCGGGCAACGCCCAGAAACTATTGGCTCAAACATCGAGGACTTTGTCCGCATGTTACACGGGCAGTTTAATGTGAAGTTTGTGGTGGTTTGCCAAATTCTTAATAGAGCGACAGCCCCTTCGCAACATCCCGACTACAATTTGGGTGTTCAGGTCTTGAACAATTACCTTAAAGTTGTCTTGGAGCCCCTGTCTTATGCCGAGTTTTGGAACCACAAAGGCCTACGAAGACCAAGCATCCCCATGTTACTGCGGGATGGCGTTCATTTAAACGACCGGGGCAATTATGCTTTATATTGTAGTTACAGAGGGGCGATTTTGTTTGCATTAAAGAAACTGTTTTCCCTAGCTCAGAGGACCTGACTGGTTCGAACACGTCAGATCGCACAGGCATTCACCTTTCTTTGTTTTTGTATACTCTTTTGAGTTTATATTGATATGTTTTAAGGTATATATACCTTATTTCCGGCACTTTTAGCATGTTCATTGCGGCATCTCATTTTACTGGGTTTGCCAAACATGTTGCCGATTTGTTGTTTGCCTGATTATCCACATTTCTCTCTGTTTAAGTGAATGACCTGGCGATCAACTTTCTTGGTCCGCTATCCCATTCCACCCTCTTTGCCTATGGTCGCTAGCTCCTTTATTTCGCATTTGTAACATTCGTTTATCAGGGCCAGTTTCTTAGTCGTTCGAAAGGTTTTGTCTGTTACTTTTAGTGCACTACTCGGATCCGCCAGAATGATGACTCGTGGAAAACAACGCCTGAGTAAAGGAACAAGCGCTACACAAGGCAAAGCCACCAGCGTTGGTGCTAAAAGGTCTAGTTCCACCCGTTCTGTCCCTTCTGTGGCACGCAAGCGATCACGACGAGTCCCTCCAAACAACGGCCCTGTCCAAACACCCCATCTTGCAGACGCTACGCATCCAGCTGAACTCGAAAGGCAACCCCTCACGGGCAATTCCACCACTGCAGTGGATCGTCAAGAACTAACGACCTCATTGATCCCGTCGTCGGTCTCCATTCCGGATCTGACAAAGGCAGTGTCAGCCGCTGTGATAAAAAGTTTATCTGAGGCAGGCGTTATCCCGTCGGCGAACACTGTTCCAACCACAGAGCAGAATGCTGATCCAGCTGCTGCTGTACAGGAGTCAGTGGCAGCTGTTGTTCAGGATTTAACTGGTGAGGGCCATAATTTTCAATCAAATAATGATTCTGTAATTTCGGGCAGTCCCGATGCTAACAGTCGGCCTGGTACTATTCACAAGTTGATTTCCGTTCCCTTAGCGAGTAGGGTATCCGAAAAACTGCAATCTAAAATCTGGGCAAACGAATATGTCGATTTAGGTAGCCTTTTCGCAACGTTGCCCGGGGACCCCAAATACAATTTTACAATAAAAAATTTACCTGGGTCTTCAACGCCAACTGTTAGTCTCGAGCCTGTGCAAAACACCAAGCGCATAGCTACAATCGATCAGTGGACCTCTGCATTTCAAATTTTTGTTGCTATTTACACAGTGCGTTTTCCAGAAACGGCACCGGCCTTGATGAAGTATAGTGCGACGGTGCGTGATTTAGCGGCCAAAAATGCGCATTGGCGCTATTACGATGAGAATTTCCGCTATTTGCGGCAAAAATCCCTTTTTCCCTGGGATGAAATACACTGGGAATTGTGGTTGCAGGCGCACCACATGACCCGTAGTTCATTTCCAGCTTCTCCAGGAAACAACGCTAATAAACAATCGTCTCAGCCCTTTCCCAAAGGCTTTTGCTGGAAGTTTC